TTTTTCTTAGTATTATAATGAACATCCTTTTTCTATGTCTATTCCCTTTGAATGTGTGATTCTATAATCTTACTTTTTATTTTCTTTGATAAAATAGCGACAGTAAATAGTGTAAAGAGTAAGAAAAAAGAACATTGATACTCATCGACAATCATTATCTTCTTTCATTTTAATTTTCTACACATTATAGAAGTTGTTGATGAACTCTATCATAATACGTTGAATAAAAAAACAAGAAAATTAACATAAATTTTGTTCGTTATGAAAATATTCTCCAGGTATGATATTTCAAAGCTATGAATATTTTCTATTTAATCAAAGTTTGTTTTTTTCTTCTTAAGAATGCGTTTAGCGTATAAAGTTGGTTTAGCATTAGCAACAATTGTTGTCGTAGTAGTTGTTATTACTGTTCCAGTAGTTTTAAAGACTCAATCTACAACAACAAGTAAGGATAGAAAAAGAAGCTGATTTTTTTTAAATCAAAAAACCCTATTTTTAAGCTGTTACAGCAATGACATCTGTGATTACACAACGAACATCAGCTTTAACTACAAATAGTCAAACATTCTGTCGTCAAACACCATGTATTATGTATTCCCATTATGCTCAGACATTTGAGATCAATATAACTACCAGTGGAACATACTATTTTCATACGAATGGTACTATAGATACATATGGTTGTCGTTATGTTGATACCATCAATGCAAGTGATCCATATACGAATAGATTACTATGTGATGATAATGGTTATGACAATGGTCAGTTTATGCTAGTTGTATTATTAGAGTCCACGTCAAAAAACTTCATAGTAGTATCAACCAAGACAATTGGTGTTACAGGTTCATTTACCATTATTGGAACTGGTCCAAGTTCAATTGATTTCATTCCAAAAGATATATCAAGTAAGAAATAGAGTTTTTCTGAAATGAATGATAACATATTATACGTTTGTTTTATCAGGTACTACAACAATTACTTTATCAAAATATGAATCAATTTTGACTAATAATAGTCAACAATTTTGTCGTACTTTACCATGTGATGATTATATTTATTATGCTCAAGCATTTGAAATTAATGTTACTACAAATGGGACTTATTATATTCGATTTATTAGTGGAATCAATATGTATGGATATATTTACAATGAATCCGTTGATTCGACATATTTATATCAAAATTTATTAAGATCAAGTGATTTTGATATGGTAACTAAGCAGTATATGGTCGCAATAACATTAGAACCAACGAAAAAGTATATCTTGGTAGCAACAACTGACTCACCCAAAGCAATAGGATCGTTCTCTATTGTTGGAAGTGGTCTAGGATCACTTAATTTTGCTCCAGTGAATATATCAGGTAAGATGCTGTGAATTTATTAAAGAGCATTATATTTTCGTTTGCAGTAGGGTCCCGCATCGGGATTCTTCGGAGCCGATTGTTTTCAGAGCAGAGAATATAGCTTAGTTCTTGAAATACTGAATCCCGAAAAAATGCCGGTGCAGGACGCTAGTTTGCAGTGAAATGACGTTTTACTTCAAAAATAACTTTTCGATATTCTTTTCTGCTTGATTATAGGAACATCATGGTTACGATCAGAATATGCATCAGCTTTGACTACTAATAGTCAACAATTTTGTGTTCATTCACCTTGTGATGAATATATTTATTATGCTCAAGCATTTGAAATTAATATCACAACGAATGGAACTTATTATTTTCGATCTAGATCTGATGGTAATATGAATATAGTAGCATATATTTACAATGAAAGTGTTGATGCTACATATCCATATAGAAACTATATAACATTTAGTCTTTTGAATGTCGGTACTAGTCAGTACATGATGATAATAACATTGCAACAGATGACAAAGTATGTTTTGGTGGTAACGACCAGTTCACCTACATTAACAGGACCATTCACTCTTATTGGTAGTGGTCCCTATTTTGGTAGTTTTACTCCGGTGAATATGACAGGTAAGAAATCATAACTTTACAGAAAATAATTGTGAATAAGATCTTCAATAACAATATAACTCTGGAATTAGAAACTCCATGGTTACGATCAGAATATTCATCATTATTAACAAATAATAGTCAACAGTTCTGTCGTTCTTCACCTTGTGACGAATATATTTTCTATGCTCAAGCATTTGAAATCAATGTCACGACAACTGGAATGTATTATATCCGATCTAATGGTACTATGCCGACATATGGTTATATTTACAATGAAAGTGTCGATACTACATATACGAATCGAAGTTTATTAGAATGGAATGGTTACAATTACCAAAATGATCAGTTCATGATCATAGTACTATTGGAACAAATGACAAAATATATTCTGGTAGTAACGAGTTACGCACCCCAAGTCATAGGATCATTCACTATTATTGGAAGTGGTCCAAATTTTCATGGTTTTACTCCTGTAAATATGACAGGTAAGAGATAAACTAATCGATGTGAAGCTATCACCACGGTCTGACATAGGTTTTTATAGAATTCTTTGTTTCGTGGTGCTAGCTTCACATCGATGATAAACTATATTCAAAATCTACGATGAGATAACATTTTTTTGTTTTTTTATTTCATAGAATCATTAAAGTTTTGCACATATAGTAATATGAATATGAAATGGAATCAAAATGCAACTACTATCATAGGAGGATATGGATTAGGTAATCAATCAAATCAATTAGCATATCCTGTTGGTATTTTTGTTATCGATGATGACGATGAACAATCAATATATATTGCTGATTCGAATAATCATCGTATTATGAAATGGATATTTAATACAACTGAAGGACAAGTTATTGCTGGTGGAAATCAACAAGGAAATAGAACAGATCAATTAAATACACCAACAGATATGCTTATTGATAAAATCAATGATTCAATAATTATTTGTGATCAAGGTAATAGAAGAATAGTACAATGGTCTCTTCGAAATGACACAATTCCAAAAATAATGATTTCGAATATTGATTGTTGGTCTTTAGCTATGGATACTAATCGAAATTTGTATATTTCTGATTATAAGAAAAATGTTATAAAACGATATAATGTAAATGATTTAAATGAAACTCTAGTTATCGCTTATCAACTTGATGAACCTACATTTATGTTTATTGGTAAAAATAATTCCGTTTATGTAACAGATGGAGGACATCATCGAATAATACGATGGATGGAAAATGAAAATGAAGGAATAGTTGTAGCTGGCGCTTTTGGTAACGGAACTAGTAATACACGATTAAGTTATCCACAAGGAATATTCGTTGATTCTTTAAATAATATTTATATAGTTGATGGAAATAATAATAGAATAATGCAATGGCATCAAGGATGTCAAAATGGCCAATTGGTTATTGATGGAAATCAATTTAATAATCCAAAAGATTTAACATTTGATCGACAAAATAATATTTATATTGTTGATACAAATAATCATCGTATACAAAAATTTCATATTCAACATGATTATTAACAATATTTTACTAAAACTAATTCTTTTTCTACTTATTTAATCGAAATTAATATTTATCCGAGGAGAGCTTTATATATTTATTTTACGAATAAACTTGTACATGAATATTCAAGACAAAGATTATTGACATATTCTTCAACATCTATGCAATAACATGATTCATTTTGTCAGACAATACTCTTACAACACGTCGCATTTTTCATTTTCGAATACAAAATACTATAAAAATGACAAAACGTGGTATGATCAATGGTAAAATTTTTGTTAGATCACCAACTAATCCAAACAATGTCATAACAATATAAAGTGCATTGTTTTTTGTTACACGAGTATAACTACATTGTGATAGTTTACATTCATCGTAATATCTATTGTATTTCAATGAAAAATTCCATTCTTCAATCATTAATTCATCGAGAAGTTCTAGAACAGTTGAGTTTAAAGAAAATTGGGTGGGCAATGACTGATGAAGTGATGTTATATTCAATACAGGAAAGTAATATGTCTCAAAGCGTTTTTGAATTTCATCAATACAAGTTTGATTATAAACACATTGCAGATTAGATTGAAGAAGTAATTCAATTATATAACATCCTTCTTTAAAATTGGGTACAGGTTCAGGTCTAGGATTATATTTTTCATAGATCCAAGCTTGACGAACACAGGTACGTGAAGTCAGACAGTAACAATAATCATAGGGGTCTGGTACGTTTTGCCGACACTCACTTTGCCGACAATAATATTTTTACAACAAGTTTTCGTGTCATCATAGTCCTGAAGATAATGATACAACTGCTACTTTGGAACAAATTACATCATCGCAAACCTCATTCATTATTACACCATCATCTACACTCATCCATACTTATACGCAGACCCTCAACGTCAGCCTTACTCTGATACTTTCAACCTCACCGAAATTCATACCTATATTCACATCTCACTCTCGTCATCATCCTCATCTTTCTTGCATTAGATTCTTGTCGGCAAAGTGACTGTCGGTAAAACGGCGTCGGCAAAATGATTGCGACCCTGGGAACATAGAGCAAAAGACACTCTATCGATTCATAAAAGAAAGAATTTCTTTTGAACTTCTTCACGGAAAAAGGCACCTTCCTCACCACTTTTTGGTTGCCTGAAGTATAATTTACTATTGTCTTCTATAATTTAAATAAATGTTGGTGGATTGAATATTATGAGTCAAACATCTATCCTTTTTATTCCATAGATTCATCGTCCGTATGAAAGACATATTCAGAAATTTCGGGATAAAAGTTTTTTTAACAACAAAAACGAGCAAATTATAACCAATGAGAAATAGATCTCTAATGAATCATATTAGTAAAACATAATGATAGAATAGAAATGAAAGAAGTATGATGATGATGAATAAAAGAAGACGTCATAAAGATTTCATCGTTGAAATAAGTTATTCAAGTAGAAAACGCCACTACTAATATTACTCAGAAGTTTTTTAAAATTTTTCTTATATATCTATTCCGACATTAAAATATCATCTCAGTTTGTTCAATATTATGCCTTCTTTTTCTATTTTGTCTTGGTTGACAAGATACCAGTGAATTGAATAGTTTTTAATTGGTAGATATTACTTTCTATCTCAAGTGTTCTTTTCATTTTGAAAAGAATCTGCACATTTACAACGGTTAAAACTAAAAATAAGATGTCTTCTTTTAATGACAATGAATTCACGAATTTTACTCCAGCTATTTATATAATTGGTTTCGTTCAAATACCAATTCTTATATTAACAATTCTTCTTGCTATTGCTTACATTATACTTCTACTTATTCGACCAGCTTTTCGTCAAAATAAACTCAATTGGTTTCTAATCAATGTATGTCTCACGAGTATATGGATAGCTACTTTTTTCATTGCGATAGATACTCAAATACTATTCAATATTTCAACTCTTGTCTCCGTACGTATTATGTCATTTTTAGAATTTATGAGTGTATCTCTAGTAACATATTCACATTGTGCAATTGCATGAAGTAGACTTCTAACTATTGTTCATGGAAATAAACATATTTTTCAATCAATTTCATGTATATGGATATGTATCATTAGTGGATGGATTCTTGCTATTCTTCTTACGAGGGAACATATTTAGGTGTTCAAGCGTTTTAGAGCTCATCTTTTCGCCGTAAGTAGACCTCGGTGAGATATGAAAATCGACAAGGAAATGATAAACGATTATTTCTTGAGAAATTAATAGGACATCAAAGGATGAACTATCACGTCAGTTTCGTATACTATTTGGGTGATGTGTTCTGAGTTAAAAGTTAGATTAAACCTTATGAATAACACTTCTACTTGTTGTTCATGAGCCTAAACGATACTCAAATTCTTTGTTTTGTTTCTTTTTTCATTTTACACTGCAATATCCCTTTCGAAAAGCCCGAGAGTAATAAACCATCTTTCATACGATTATCTTTTTTTTTGCAAGCATGCCGTCATGTCATAATGATAAATGTTCTATGCTCACATTTTTTTCTTTCATTCTTATTCCGTACCCTTTTGTATATCACATGCGTTTTGAAGTCGTGTTTCTTTTCATTCGATCGTAAACAATATATAAGTGTGGTGTGAAGAGGGACCTGTATTAGTTATTATTTCTTCTAATTTAAAATGATCAATCCAATAAACGTTGCAAAGGTTTTTACTGATCGAGCGTCGAACTTATCGTCATCTACTTTTTCGGATATTTTGACTAGCGGAAATACTATAACAAATCGTGAATGCGAAGTAGCCGAGCTGCTATGTGGTGTACTCGAGTCGATTGTCAACTGTCATTCACACACTTTCGAAATCGAAACAACTCTGGATCACGAGTCAAGCGAAAGCGAATTGATTAACGAAGGAGATTACGAAAATGAAGTTGAAGAGACAATTGATTCTGAATGGAGTGAAGTAGAAGATGATGAGGACAAAGCATTGTGCAAAGAATTTTCTCTTGACTATATGACTCGTGCAGTTAATTTTTATGATGAGATCAATCCGAACACAGGCAAACGAAAACGACGATGGGAAACAGTGAAACGTAACTTCCAGCGTATCCCGCATCAGACTTATATCGCTCGGTTTCGCCATTATCTTGAGAGACACGGAACAAAGAAGCAGAAACTTGATAAAATTGATGACTACGTATTTGACATGTTCGACCGAGCTAGGGAGTCTGTCCTGCCCGTGCACGATATTGATCTTCGTCGATGGGCTCTGAAGAAAGCTATGGATGAGTCTTTACATAATTAAATGTAAACATAATATTATCTCTCGTGAGGTGACAAAGGTAAGAAATTTTCTGATTAGCCCACAGATATACGAAGAAAAACCCTCGTTTTAGGCAATCAGACTAAAATTTTAAAAAAGTTTCTTTCAGAGTTACAGACACCTCTGGTTTATACTAAAGTTTATTTTCTCCAAAAATATTTGTTCTTTTACAGATTGTGACAAAGCGTTCGACAGAAAATCAAGAGACAATCAGAGATTCAGCTGATCAGTTTGTAGTCGATGTTCACCAGCATTTGTCAAAGTATGAGCCTAGTGAAGTCATTAATACAGATCAAAGTGGAATCCAACTCGAATTACACTCTACTCGAACGTTGAGCTACAAGGGAGCAAAAATTACCGTTGCATCTGTCCGCTCACCAAATGCCATTACTCACAGCTACACAGTGCATCCAACCATAACGCTGGATGGCTACCTTCTCTCGCTAGTGTATCTCTGTTTAAAGGAGCCCAAAGGTTACATGAGCGAGAACATTCGATCACACCTTTTTAAGACCTCAAATGTGGTGATAACCTGTAGCAGTTCAGGAAAACTCACCATGTCCCTAACAGAATATTGGCGCGATCATGTTCTCCTTCCGTCATTAGGAGAAAGAAAGAAGTTTCTACTCATCTCCGACTGTTGGAGTGGACAAACAGATCGGAAGGGGATATACGATCATATTCCCCGCTGCACTAGGCTCGAAATACCGAAGAAAACAACAGACATACTTCAGCCACTGAACGTTTTTTTCAATAGGCAAATGAAGGTGATTCCTCGTCGGTTATTTGATCGCGTATTACTCGATGAATTGGATATCAACATTATTGAACGTAATAACATCATTCGTCTGACGTCTCTAACTCATAATCAACTCTCTTCTGAAGTGTTTCGTAAGATGATCCAGTACGCATGGTACGCCAGCGGCTATACAGATAACCATCCAGGATCTTTCAAGACTGTAGCCGAAGTGTGTTTCTCATTTGACGCTACAATATGCGCAGTATCTTCTTGCGATGTGTCTCCTTTCATTAGTTGCAGCTGGTGCAACAAACCGCTTTGTTTGAACCACTTTTTTCTCAATTACCATTTCCATTGATTTCTTTAGTTACACTTTTGCAGTTCAAAAAAATGAAAAAAGAAACAAAACAAAGAATTGGAGTATCGTTTAGGCTCATGAACAACAAGTAGAAGTGTTATTCATAAGAACACATCACCCAAATAGCATACGAAACTGACGTGATAGTTCATCCTTTGATGTCCTATTAATTTCTCAAGAAATATTCGTTTATCATTTCCTTGTCGATTTTCATATGTAACTTGAAAATCCGATATCTGGTGAATAAAGGCACGAGGGAATGAATCCTTTTGGGGTTTTTCATATCTCACCGAGGTCTACTTATGGCGAAAAGATGAGCTCTAAAACGCTTGAACACCTAAATATGTTCCCTCGTAAGTAGAATACTTTCATGTAATTTAGTAAGAGTCTGTGTTGTTCTTTGACGTATGCGAGAAAAGAAATTTTTTTAACAGTGTTTTACCGTTAGAGACGACAACTCTAATGAAAATTCTTCACACTATTCTTGCTCTTTTTGAAGGATACCTAAGAGATTCCATTTTGCGTGAAATACAGATAACAACCTTGCTTGAAAGTAAGCATAAACTTTCAATAATGATTGTTAGTCAAATTATATATAGAGTAGCGTGAGGTTTTTATAACAAAAACAAATTACTTGCATCCTCATCTCCAAGAATTATTTTGGAAGATTCTTAGCAGATAAAAAAGGTTCTTCTGATTGAATACAATGGAAAAAATGAACATTAGTTTGAAATATTTTAGAAAAGGAATAACAGATGTTTTTTAATTTCTGTTTGACATTTCCGAAATAACTAGNGTGATAAAACAAATTTCGAACATGCAAAGTTTCATTTTTTTGTAGACATTGAAATTATGATTATTAATGGGAGAATTGAACAACAACTTTTCGATGTCCCATGTATAGAGTAAATAATTAATCAAACTGAACGCTGTGGCAAGATTTAAAACCTTTCCGAACGAAGATACCTCGTTATTCTGGTTCACTGATCTGTAAGTACCTGTACTATCAATCGTATTTTCTCTCAATATGTCTACACAATTCGAAACTCTAGATTTTTAGTCCATTTGCATCAAGCAGGATTCTTCATTTACGAAAACCGTTAGAAGTAATTTCATTAGACGGTACCATTTCATTTTAAACTGATGATAACGTTTGACGTTGTTTGGGAATTCCCTTTGAAAAGGGTATATGAAGAGTTTTTGTCGGCTGGATGTTATGCTTCTGGGTTTACTGTCAATATGTACCAAAAACGAAGAATTCATGAAAGAAGATCTTTAATTGAAATAGTTAAAATTTTTGATGAATTTTTTGTTATGAGTAGTGTTAGTGTTTCAATGTACTGCTGGATGTAATCCAATCACTAATGCCACATTGATTACAAATTTTGTTTCGAACACATGAAATTTCTTGTTATTAGCTACGGATTGAAAACAGTATACAACTATCAAATGAAGATGAGTGTTATCCTTCGTTAATATTATTGTTTCTTTATCAACCACATCTACAATTGATCACAATGTTAAGTTAGATATTGTGATTCCCAAACAGTTTGAACAACAAGATCATTCATAATTATTCAATTGTATGAATTGAAATCTTTTGGAAAAATCAAGTCAACTAGGATTTTTCACATAATATAATGCGAAAGAAAAAGCGAAGAGTTTTGAACTTTGTATTTTCATTTTGGAGAAAAGAAAAGAAAAAACAAATGATTAAATAAATAACACGAAAAAATGAGTGAAATAACAATAACTTTTTAGGGAAGTAATGAGTAATTAGTGGAATCATATTCATGTTTGCCCTTTCAAAGCTGTCTTTTTAAATCGATCTTTGTTATTATATCATCTCTTTCTCAATTTCATTTTATCCTTATCGTATTTCAGTTTTGATGGAATTTAATGTATTTGCTGTTTTTAATTGTATGTTAATGCGTCGCAATGAATCTTTTAATACAGTTTAAAGTATTTTTTGCTCATTTTTGTTAGAGGTGTCTTGATGAATTCTAATATCATTTTGATGTATTTTAATGAGGTTCATTGTATTACGTACTGTTTGAGCTTATAGTAGTTTGATATCAGATGTTTTTAGATGATTATGGAAAGATTTTTACAAATATTTGGAGTCAACACAGTTGTTGAGATTAGGGATAAGAGAAGAATTGGATTTTAATTTTTACATTTTAGAAGAAAACTTTTACATATGTTCGCAATATGAGAGGCGAACTGATTTTTNGAGTTAGCACACTGAAATTCCAATCCGTTCATGATTGTCATTGTAACGGACTTTACATCTTGCATGAGCGATTGTTCGAAAAGACCAAACAAAAGCAACATTGAAATTCTTATCCAGTCCATAACTATTGCAGTCAAACTTTTACTTGACAACAACAACAACAATTGTATTTGAAATAAAATGAATAGCATCTACTACTAGTAGGTGCTTTTTTATACTCTTTTTTCTCTCTCTTCCATAATAAAAGCCTATTTTTTCTCTGCACCAATAGTTTTAAAAAAAGTCATGCCTTGATGTAATATTCATGATGAGAACGATGTGCTAATTTCTTTCAGACATTTTGAACAAGTCATGCGCTCAAAAACCACTGTTGTTTCATAGTAGCTGCACACATAGTGGGCGAAACTGCACATCCATTTTCTTCCTGTTCAATGTAAAAGAAAAAAAAAGGAATGAGGCAACATAAAGGAGAATGTGTTATTATAATGAATGTTTATCTAACGTAGGACATTTTTGTAACAGATTCGACTCTTCCAGGATTTATTTGTTATGATATGCAATCTAAATCTGTTTTCGTGCGTTCCAAGTCAGAATTCGACGAGTTCTATCGATTCAAAAGAAAAATATTCATAGCTCCACGAAAACATGTTTTTAGCATTGTGTATCTTTATGCTACTAGGCTGTTAATATTGAAAAAGATGTAATGTACAATGATAAATACCAGACAACATATAAAGACAGTTGTCGCGTCTTGAGGTGAGAGAGAGTTTATTTAGAATAGACGTAAAACTGAACAACACACTAGGAAAACGTCGTGACTATATATATAGCACTAGAAAGGGGGAAATACCCTGCGAATATTCCAACAGACTATGACGACATGGAATATTCCGTACGGATATTTCCAAAAAGGACAAGACAGTCATGACATCAATAGGAGGGAGATGTCCCGTGACATCACTATATCACAGGCAGTATTAACAATCTGTTCGGCAAAATTATTAATGGGAGTTTTCTCTTTCAGTTGCGATGTATTCAGCGATGTGATAATGTTCTTGTTCATATGTTGAATATTAGAATTATTATTCGAGCCGGATAAATAGAAATCGTCTCGTATGGATCTTTCATGATTTGATGCAAGTAGTGCGAATGATACCATCAGGAAGGCGATAGTGATAATACACTCGTGTTGATCACACAAAAAATATGGAACGGCTATTTATACTCGATGGTGTCGGTGAGATGAAGGAAGAATCTGTTCTTTCTCAAAGAGAACAAAGAATAGGTGTAACGGACATACTTTGTCATCACCTTCTCTTATTTTAGCGGTTTTTTTAACCGGTACTCTCATACTAGAGAGATTTTATCATTGTTTGTCTAATGATGCTACTCTGTGTAGAAAAGATCAAATGATAAAACATCAAATCTTTTTCTATATTATTGTTGACGAAACTTAAAGAAAAACTGACAAATGTTTAGTCTACTTTTTTTTAACTTCAATAGATAAATCAAAAGATACAAGCTACTAAGAATATTGATCTCTCATATCAAAGAGAGAGAGGAGGGACAAGAGAGTGAAACGGGGAGAGAGAGAAGAAAAAAGAAAGAGAAATACAAAATTCCATAATGATTGGTTGGATGGTTGAAGAGAAAAAATAGTTACTACCAATAGTAATATGAAAAAATTGATCCTGCTGATAAGCGTGTACAGGAGTATAAAAGCCGAGTGCTCACAGCAGTGCTATTCAGTGTTGGTTGGATGATACTAGTCAACACGATCTCTTGTGTTATATTATCGAATCGCAACCTATCCTTCGACAGTACAACAACGCTTAGTGACTTCCGACAATTGATATTGTATGTCTTTCTCAATTACAGTTATTATATTATTTGTTTTCTATGTTCAGATTCAATCAAAAATCATATTCTCTACATCATCAATAAGTTTTGTACTGTTTGTGAGTACATTTTCATATAAATGTAAACCGATCCGTTGTGGAAACCGAGCCATTTTTGGCAAAATAATTTATTTTTCTAGAATGCTTTTTTAAAATGAGTTTCTTAACCTTTAAACGTACTCTTTTCCCCTTTGCTCTAAAGAAATCATTTCCCAACTATTTTAACAGTTCACTGAAAGGAAAAAAGTCATTCTATGAAGAACGATATGATACTTTCAATATCTCTCATGCAGTGAATTTTGAGCATAATGAGACTAATATGCTATTTTGTTAGAGAGAATTTAGTCGAATATGCTATTTATTTCATACATTTAAGGAGGACTTCTCTTTGGAATATTTTATTTTAACGCGGTACAGTTGCAAAAGAGTTATCTTTCTCAATTTCATTTTCCACAAAATTTGCGATAAGAGTAACGTTTTTTTTTTACTGCCCTGGCACTTCCCTCAGTTCATCCTTTTGTCTCAATCATATTCATTTCAGTCTGTAGTTACGAAAACTAAATTGTAGTGAAATTGTGAAAATATGGATTTTCTCCTATTTTTTCTCAAAAGGTTAGCTACAAAAAGAGATAATTTCTCCCTGACTTAAGAAAAAATTGATTCTATATAAGATAAGGAAAGGTTGAAAAGAAATTCAAAATAACTTTTCACTGAAAAATTAGTACACCAATTTATTCTAAAATCTAATTCTAAGTAAAACGCACGCACTATACGACAGCCAAAACGGCTAACGGTCAACCAATATGATTGAAGTAGAAGTTAAAACTCAACAATATTGAACCTTAACAAAAGACAGCGCAATTTTCTGAATAAGAAACTGTCTTATGTTTTGTTGGTCAGTGCTTATTTAACGAAAAAATATGGACGAAACAAACGGGCGGACCAATTAGTAATATTTCATGAGTTATCATCTTGTGAGAAAAGTGTATACAGTGAGACAAGAAAAGAAATAATCATGAAGTATCTTAGACGATTTTGAAGCGCAGAAGATGAGCTTTCTTCTCATTTAGAAAAAATTTTCCCGCCGCGTTTCTACTATGAGAAAGACGTCTTTGAAAAGGGGCAACATATGTATGTCTATGCGTTACGGAAAATTAAGTGTAATAAATATTTCTGTGTTACTAAAGCAGTTTTCTTTTAAAACTCACACTGATCCTCCGCCTACTTTTGATGGACTATCCAATGAACACATTGTTCTTTGTCCCAAGTACTTCAGTAAGAAGTAATTCGGTAACGCACAGACATAAGGTTTGAAAAATTTATATTAATTAACATATAAACCAGCTATGAATCATCTATTCCATGTACAATTTTCAATGTGACATATATCTACATTGTTTTCATGAGCAGCTATATTGCCGAGAACAAAACACAAGAGAACAACACGCAAATTCTTTATGGGATCTATAGAAAATCTCGTTGATATTTTCATTTTCAATAATTCTGGTATTGGGAAAGCCGAAGTCCGTAAAAGATACTCAAAAATTATATACTGTAATTGATATTTGTCCAGATGTCGTTGAATGCTGAAATTATCGCGATGCATCACCTAAATGGACTGTTTTGTTCTAATTTTTAACGTTTTTAACTGAAAATTTGCTATCGTTTTGTACCAATAAGAACACGTATAAGAGTTAGCGAAAATATAAAAATCAGTCCTAAATACTTCAAATATGAATAAACATAATTTTTTCGATGTTTTAAAGTGATATTTCAACATTAGCAAACTTTCGTGCAAATACATGTCTGTGCATTACCAAAATGTCTGTGTATTACTTCAAATTTTCTTAATAACTCGCTCATTTTTGAAGTAATTAATATTTTCTTTTTAGCAATGGATAGCCCTGATCTCCAGCTACAAAATATTCTCTTACGAAAATTCAATAGCATGCAGTAGTTCGTAGAATCTATCGTATCTTTCGTAATCACTAAAAACCGAGGGCCTTTTTTGTCTGTGTGTTACCGACTGATATTTCATTTATAAAATCGGAACAGCTCAACCGTTATGGCTCAAACTTTGAACTATTATATAACTTGTTTAGTTACACATTTGTTGAAAATTTCCGGTCTCCTCCTCTTACCGTACTCTAGGTACAACTGTTCAAAGTTGAAAAAACGTCTGTGTGTTACCTGCGTTTCTCATGAACTGTTGTAACTGTATGTCGTTTTTGGTGGTCATGGATCCGATACGTAGAAGTGAAAGGGATCATTGATGCCAATGATCTAGATTCTGTCAAAAAGATAAGATCTAATTGTTTCATTACAAAAGCAAGATTTCGGTGTATTGAACTAAATGCACATGCATTATTAATACATTATTTTATTAGTTATTGAAGGCAGATTACCTGTTGATGCACTTAATACTTATCTGCTTAGTTCTCAAACATGTGAGAATACATTTCGTGTAGCTCGTGCTTTGTCGGGCACATTTTCTATAATAACCAATTTCACTGTTAAATCTTTTTTGAAAAGATGTGAAAAAATCTCGATTCTTAATTCCCTTAAATCACGTGAAGGTGTCTTTGGTGATTATCATTTTCAATTCGCAAAGCATCACAAGGTTCATAAAGAAACGTACGAATATTCGACAAACAATGATATCGAAAAAATTATAAAACATGCGTTTGAATCAGCTAAAGGATATGTTTCAGTGGTTAATATGACTCACTTACTGAAAAGTAAAAATGTTTATTCATTATCCGAGTTGAGTCGATTTATGAAAACCAGTTTGGTCAAATCTTCGTCAAAAGTTATTGATTATACAGAGGACGATGATATTGAAGATGAATACGAAGTCGAAGAAAATGACTCAGAAACATTAGGTGGTGATTATTAAAAGTCAAAAGATATCATCGAAGATGAAGAAGAAGATAATTGTACTTTAGCAAGTGATCTTTCTGATGTAGAACGGCAAAATTTTAATGGTTGTCGGATCTATAATAAAGTTAATCCATAGCAAATAAAAAAAAGATTTTCGTGTTCGTATCGGTACATCTTATAGATATATTCATAAACAAACATGTTGTTGGCTGTTGACAGACAATCGAGATCATCCATCGAGTGACAGATTGGTGCGTGTTCAAAAGTCTGACAGAGAGAAATAGTTATTTCAATAAGAACAACATGTGTTTGTTTTTTTTCCATTTCGTGTTCTTCTTTTTTCATGTAACTTTTCTTCTGGTAAAATTGTTTCTTGTACATCAGATTTATAATAGAAGAAGGATTTATTTCTAGTATTGAAAGATGTGTTTTTTTATTTCTTACAATAAAATCGTGTAGACAATCAGTACTAACAGTATTAAATACATGTGGAAATGTTGTATAGATGTTGAGCGGCTGCTGAAACGCTGGTTGGGTGTTCAGGTGCTAGGAGCATCCGGTCTGCACTTACTCTCGTGGTTGCTATTCATTCATCGTATTGTTTCTTAGTGCTCCAATTCAATATATAAGAAACGTGAAATGATTAGAAATTGTACCAATAGCAACCACATGAACGATATACTACATCAGTTCGATGGATCTTATTCGTCGAACTATATAGATTATACGATCTTGTTTGTGATGTTCGAATAATTAGACCAGAATCTATATTCAGTTGCAAACCGTCTGATGAGTCCTTGAGCAAGGTCGAAATCACGATCACGGCGGTTTTCTAATTCACCCTCATCCTCATTACAATGTAGCCCGCAAGTAGATCACATTGTCTTCAAAAGATCCAAAGTGAAAACTTCAGTCACTCACTATACAGTAAGGACATATATGAGAAAGCAAACTTTTGCCTTTTTCTCAAACTCTTTTGGAACAGAAGTATAATGCAGATGCATACACTGTTTGTGATACATAGCTCTCTCAAGAAAAAGCATCCATTTTTTCCCAGAGGTACGTTTCTCATGAACGAAAACAACAGCATGACTCTGATATGACATGTTGAAGTCACTATTACAGCCTGCACATAGAACATCTGTCAATAAAATGCTTTACCCGGAGTTAGTTCTCTTGTGAAAAATAATAAATTTAAGCGAAGCTTTTATGTTGCGAACTTCCTGGTTGATTAATGCGAAGCCAGATTGTCGCATTGTTAACATAGAACGTTATCATGACCGTATTTTAAAAAAACAATATTAGTATATTTATCACTATTATTTTCAATGTACATGTGAAGAAACACATCACACAGGTAAAATCTGTTTCCAAGTATGTCGACAGATCGCTCGCCATCGAATTCGAAATGCACTCGCAAGCAAAGAACTTGTTGTTGTGGTCCCCCTCGGTTAACCTTCAAACAGTGGATGACAGTTTGTGGATCTGTTCTCGTTCCTGTTGTCATTGCTGTAGTTGCCGGTGGACTATCAATCCAACAGCAACACATAGCCGAGAGGAATGATGCACAAAAAGAAGCTCATGCCATTTCTACGCGGATGGATATTGTTCTAAGCGACTTTATCAAGCAGATCATCGGCATATTGAAACCGTCTACATATCCAAACGGCGGGTCAATTCCGTCTGATGAGATTATTGCATACTATTCGCAGGTCATTAATCCTCTGACGATCATTACCGCGCAGCAAATTGATTTGCGACGCAAACGCCTTCTTTTTTTCTTTCTCGTTGATAGCGGGCTGCTCAGTGCCACTCGCAACTATTATATCAATCTGCCCTCAGTTAATTTTGACAATGTTGACTTGTCCTCTTATTCTAACTCCCATCACTATACTGCTCAACTTCAGCAAATAAAATTAGATACTGGATCATTTGCTGGTGCATCGTTCGACGGTCATCACATCCGTGTATCTAATATGAATTTTGTCAATTTGGACCGAGGAACATTTCGACGCTGCTCTTTCTATATGGTCACTTTCATAGAGAGCTCGCTTAAAAATACTGATTTTACCGGAGCTGAATTATTTCAGGTAGACTTTTCGGATGCGGACCTCCGAGGATCAAGTCTTACAACGGAGCAACTATTTGAGAGCTCCAACAGGTTGATGGGTGCTGCATTACCCAACGGATCCATAATTCCAGTTACCAATTTACTCGGGATGAAGCATTATGCAGGTATGCAATACTACAGTCAACACAAAAAGGCTTCTAGGCATCGAGAGCATTTCATTTCTATTCCTTACAGATGGAAACTGACGAGGGGACATAGCCAAATGTCGTGCGCCTTTTCAAGTTGGATCAGTGGCATCTGCATGCATGTAGAAGTCGAAACTGAGGGTACGGGGTAGGATGTAGCCCACAAGAGCAGTCATCTTTAACTTCAAGATGTTACATAATAATCAGTTAGTGAAAATAGCCAATAATCAATTAGTTACCAGTTTAAAACTCGAATACTCGAATCGAATTAACGATTTCTACACTACTCATAATTGCCTGATAAATTTCGTCTTTTAGTGCCACTTTCACACAGTCAGCAGTGTCAGAGCGGACTAGTATTGAATTACTATACGAAAGAAACTGGCGAAGTAATCAATGTATTAACTCCGGATGGTCAGGATTGTTTTTTTGCTGGTAAACTGGCCTTCGTTGAGTCAGCTATTCAACAAACAGTGAAGGTGAGCCGATATTCAACTTGGTTTTCAAGCGGTCGAGTTCGCTACTGTCTTCGCGCAACTATGGGTCTGACAGAAACGGATAACAAAGTGGGTCAGAGTGTGAAGATAGTTGAACGAGCATTCGATGAAAACAAGAAGGTTCTGCATTCTGCTCAGTTAGGTGAATATAATTCAGCTGTTTCAGTTTCCAGTTAGACTTTTGTGACATCTAGAATTGTTTTTCGTTTGCCACAGGTCCATTTACGGAGATTAGGACGGAAAAACAATGTTGGCCAGTGCCGATTGGTGCGACGAGCTTTGCAGTTGAACTTATCTTTCGTAATGAGTTGGCTGTCAATATCACCGACGACAGAAGTGATCTATTCCACAGCCAGACTTTCGGTCTAATCAAAGACGTGTTCTTAACCACCGAGTAATAAGATCCCAAAGAAGGATCGATTGATTCTGAAATTATCATCCGTTCGGTATCTAATAAAAGTAGTGATACAATGAAAAACAGTAGTGTCAAACTTGAAAGTCGTATTCAGGTATTCTAAAATCGACTGTTTTGGCATCCGCACATAACCTCAACAATTATAGAATTGGCACAGAAAGAGAAAATATGTGGATTTTTACGTAAGGCCGCTCAGACGACCTTCGGTCGCATTCGCTATCGACGCTTGGCAACGATAGTTATTACAGGCACTAAACAAATAGCAAAAAAACAAACTTTCTTTTTTATGTATATACACGTACATGGAAGTAGACAGCGGAGCCCATCGCACATTCATATCTGACATTCGCATCTCTGTGACCTTACTTTCTTTTACTCAATTTAGGAGACTCCCAGCTGGCCGTACGAAACGTCGCAAAAGGTTATTCCGAATATTCTCATATTTCTTTTCACCCAAAAAATCAGGGAACTCATTCCTACAAGCACCATCAACCCCCAACACCCACACCTCAAACTGATTTCCAGCCGAGAAATCAGTGAAATCAGAAATCAGTTTGTTCCTCTTGGTGAATTTAAAGAGGAAATATACGATACGATGATAAACATTTGTAAAATTTTTTTATTCCGAAAGAAAAAAGATTTCATTTCGTCGTTTATCTAATCAACAGTTTCTTTTTCAATTTTGAAAAACAAAATCTCGAAGAAATTTTGATTCTAAAGGACCAGTTTGATCCACAAGTGAACTAAAATACGAATTTGGATTAGATAAAAGATTTTTCGGCGTGTCAAATTCTACTAATCTCCCATGATGAAGAACTAATATTCTTTGATTATCAATAATTGTTCTTAAACGATGAGCAACGGTTAAAACAGTTGATTGCTGAAATTTCTCTCGAATTGTTCTTTGTATCAATTCATCCGTTCTAAAAAATCAAACTAAATAATCGAAAGAAAAGAAAAAGAAAATCATACACATGATCAACATTTGCCGTAGCTTCATCAATAACAATAATTTTTGTTTGTTTAAGAATTGCTCGAGCCAAACAAATCAATTGTTTTTGTCCAACACTTAAATTCCCTCCATTTTCTTGAATTTCCGATTGAAGACCATCAGACATTTGTTGAATAATAAAATTTTTTAATTGAACTTCTTCGAGAACATTCCATAATTGTTGATCTTGATAAATTCCTAATGGATCAAGATTTGATCGAACAGTTCCGAGAAAAAGAATTGGATCTTGTGGAATAATTGAAATTCGATTTCTAAGAAGATTTAAATCAATTGAATGAATATCAACATTATCAATAAGAATTTGTCCATTTGTTAAGTAACCTAAACGAAAGAGAATTTGAATTATTGAACTTTTTCCTGCACCAGTTCTTCCAACAATTCCAATTTTTTCATTGGATTCAATTCTCATTGAAATATTTTTCAAAATTATCGATGAATTTGTCTTTTTCGAATATTTCATTGAAATATTTTCAAAAACAATTTCTCCTTTCGAAGGCCAAGTTAATGAAACATTTTGATGTTCATTATTTTCTTCTTCTTGTTCCACCGAACAATATTCCAAAACTCTTTCCACTGAAGTCATTTGACTTTCAATCACAACTGATTGTCGAATTGTCCATTGTAATAACGCCATTAAACTTAAACTATACGAAAGAATCAATGCAATTTGTGAAGGAGAAATCAATTGATATTGAATTAAACGTAAAATCATAGAAGATAATGTGACAAGACTGATGAAGATCAAAGCGACCCAATCAAATCGAACTGCTGCCCATCGATTTGTTGTTATGATTAAATGATTTGTATTCGTATTATCATTTAAATAATTTTCAAATTGTTTTAACCAAATGTGTTCATTATTTGATGAACGAATTACTTTTAAACCTTGAATTGTTGAAGTTAAATGAGAATAAATTGGACTTCGAGTTATTCCTTCGATTCGTTTCAAATCACGTGAAGTCGAAGCAAAACGAGTTCGAACAAATAATAAACTTATTGTACAAATCACTGACGGAATTATCGACCAGATTTGAAGATAACAAACCAACACAATCACACCTAACACTTGAAAACAACACTAAAATGACGAATTTTCATCAAAGAAATACAAAAATACAAACGAATTACATCGAGAAAATCAAATGCATCGTGAGGTAAAGAATTATCCATAATGGAAATATCTTTTGTAAATCGATTCAAAATTCTTCCTTAAGAAAAACAAATATATAAAGTGATTTTAGTTAAAGACAAAAAGATTTTACCAATTGGATTTGTATCGAAGAATTCAATTGGAGTTCGAATAATTCGATGAAACATTCTTTTTTCGAAAAAGAAATTTACAGAAAATCCAAAGAAGAAATTCAACGAACTTATTATGAAGAATTCGTGATGCATTCAAAAACATATATTGAATAAGAATTGTTCGAAATAAACTTATCACAATGAATAAAATAACAATTCCTAAAATATCATAGAAAAGTTTTCGATAGAAAGACATTCTTTTCACTATATCAATCTTTTCTTTGTGAGATAAGTTAAAGAAACAAACCTGAATAAATATGAAATTTATTATTTCGATAATGAATCCATTGTGATTGATTTAATGAAAGAATTTCTTGATGTTTTTTAATGAATGAACAATTTGTGAAATTTTCATTACGATAATTTTCTTCATCATTCCATAAAGCCAACCAATAATTACTAAAGATAAATGCTCCTTGATGACTCAGACAAATGAGTGGTAAAATGAAAAATGCAAAAAGAAATCCAAATCCAGAACGAAGATATTCGAAATAAACGTAAAATTTTAATCGACCTTTTGCCTTCTTTTCTTCATTTTCATTTTGATTTATCGAAGAATTTATGTTCAATTCTTCTTCTTCTTCTTCTTCTTCTTCTTTGATTTCAATCGGAATCTTTTCTTCAATTTGTTGATTTTCATTTTGATGAATATCATTGAGTAAATTTTGAAATAAAAGACAATTTTCCATTAATTCTTGATAATTTCCGATTCCTGCCAATTCACCCTGGAAGAAAAAGCAAATATTTTCTTGTTTTCATATCATTCAATTGTTCTTACATCATACAAAAGAATAATTTTCGTTGCATTTTCTAAGAATTGAATTTGATGAGTCACTAAAATACAAATTTTGTCTTTGAGAAAACCTTTGATTGTTCTAAAAGAAAAGATCATTTCTGGAAATAGAAATCAAATAAGAAAACGAACTTTTCAAATAAATGTTTGGCAACTTTGGTATCCACAGCTGACAAAGGATCATCTAAAAGATAAATATCAGCATTGGAATAAAGTGCTCGAGCAAGATTTATTCGAGCTTTTTTGTCCCTGAAAAAGAAAATTTTCAATAAAAAACCTTTCAGAAGAATTCATATTACTCCAGATAACATTGCTCCTTGATCACCAACAATTGTTTGTTCACGTAATGGAAATTGATTAAAATCCTTTGCAAATGAAAAATTTCGAGTTTTTTCTTTTTAGAATATTTTTTCAAAATTTTTGTTACTAAATCAAGTGCAGTTGATTGAAGAACATTTTCAAATAGATTTTCATTAAAATCTTTTCCAAAAAGAATATTTTCTTTAATTGTTGATGAATAAATCCCTTTGACAATTGAAATAAATGTTAATCTTTACAAAGAAATCTTTTTCTTCTCACAAGATTCTTGTGGAACATAACAAAACGATCCATTTAATCGAATATCTCCATCGTAAAATGTCATTTCTCCGATTAATGTTTGTAAAAGTGAACTTTTTCCTGATCCGATTGATCCAACAATGCAAATTAAATCACCTGGATTTGCATTGAAGACAATACTATCGAGAGAAAACGGCGAATCTTT